AGAGTGGGATCCTATGTTGGAAAGTCATCAAGTTCTGCTTGCATCAACTAGGGAGTGGTGACCCTATGTTGGAAAATTATCAGGTTATGCTTGCGTCAACTAGGGAGTGGTGACCCTTTGTTGGAAAGTTATCAGGTTATACTGGCATTAACTAAGGAGTGAGACTCTATGGTTGAAAGTCATCAGGTTTTGTTGGCATCAACTAGGGGGTGAGACACTATGCTGGAAAGTTATCAGGTTATGTTGGCATCAACTTGGGAGTGAGAACCTATGTTGGAAAGTCGTCACGTTATGCTTGCATCAACTAGGGAGTAGTAACCCTATGTTGGAAAGTCAACAGGTAATGCTGGCATCAACTAGGGAGTGAGACCCTATGTTGGAAAGTCATTAGGTTATGCTTGCATCAACTAGGGAGTGAGACACTATGTTGGAAAGTCATCAAGTTATATTGGCATCAAATAGGGAGTGTGACCCTAAGTTGGAAAGTCATCAGGTTATGCTGGCGTCAACTAGGGAGTGGGACCCTAGGTTGGAAAGTCATCAGGTTATGCTTGCATCAACTAGGGAGTGGAACTTTGTGTTGGATAGTCCTCAGGTTATGCTTGCATCAACTAGCGAGCGGGATCCTATATTGGAAAGTCATCAGGTTATGCTGGCATCAACTAGGGAGTGGGACCTTATGTTGAGAAAGTCATCAGCTTATGCTTGCATCAACCAGGGAGTGGGATCCTATGTTGGAAAGTCATCAAGTTGTGCTTGCATAATCTAGAGAGTGGTGACCCTATGTTGGAAAATTATCAGGTTATGGTTGCGTCAAGTAGGGAGTGAGACCCTACGTTGGAAAGTCATCAGGTTATACCGGCATCAACTAAGGAGTGAGACTCTATGGTTGAAAGTCATCAGGTTTTGTTGGCATCAACTGGGGAGTGAGACCCTATGTTGGAAAATCATCAGGTTATGCTGACATCAACTAGGGAGTGAGACACTATGCTGGAAAGTTATCAGGTTATGTTGGCATCAACTAGGGAGTGAGAATCTATGTTGGAAAGTCATCACGTTATGCTTGCATAACCTAGGGAGTAGTGACCCTAAAGTCATCAGGTTATGCTGGCATCAACTAGGGAGTGGGACCCTAGGTTGGAAAGTCATCAGGTTATGCTTGCATCAACTAGGGAGTGAGACCCTAT